TGTCCTTGTAATTTCTCAAGAACACTTAATGTTTGAATTTTTGCTGAATGTCCCATTAGGTGCTTAACAGTGTTTTAAGATTTCTCATCTAGTATTTTAAGTGCAGTCCTTACACTTGATTGTGAACTCTTACATACATTGCAAGGCTGGAAGAATCGCACTTTCCTTTACTATTATGTTTCCCACTCGTCACCTTTATAGAAAACAACCAGTCAGCATTATGCCACTTTCCGTATCTGTAGCTACTTATGCATAACTTTTTGTTGACACAGAAAATTAATTAATTCCGGGAACTGGTGCTTTAACACTTGCTTTACCCTTATATGTAACTTCAACCTGGAATAAATACCATATAGCATCACAGTAGAGTAGAAATTCACAATATGCATAATTTTTTTTAAATCCCACTGCTTTTTATATAATATAATCCTTCAGGTAGAAGGACAGCAAAACAAAACATTACAGGTATTTTATTGTCTCTTTCTGTTCCTCTTTTAAAGGCAACAGTAACCAGTGTCTTGGAATACCTGATAAGCTGGTTTGGAGAGAAAAAATTTACTCCAGAACTGGTAATTTTTCATTTATTCTAATTATTTGCACATGAACACATTAAACAAGGGATAAATTGTTCATAATTCTCTATTAAACTGTTTAGTTTCTGAAGAGTTCCCTAGATACATGTGTCATTTTCAGTTACTGTCAAAACCTTCTTGATTAGATACTAAAGGGAGTATTCACAGATCTTTTTGGAAGGCTGATTTCAAAGCAGCAGATACAGATCTATTAAGTACTACCAACCCCACTCCTTTCTTATTGCTCACCACAGTAACTTAAACCATAGCATTAGGTGAGTATCGGTGCTGGGCAGGGAAGAGGGTCATACTGCAGCAGCTTTCGTTCTGACCAGTTCAAGCTGCCAGGGTGCTGCATGCGGTGTTTACCAACACCTCTGTTTTTGTTTGGAGATGCATGACATTGTGCTGGCAAAGACACATTTAATGTTCCCCTGTGCAGCACAGACCAGAAAGCTTAGCTGCATTAGTGTGGTGAAAACCAAACCTAGCATGAAATTAAACCACAACAAATTCTTACTGATAGGATACATTAGCATGGAGTTTGGCCACAGCTAGATTGACTAGCTATGTAATGGTAGCATAGCTACAAAAAACCTTGGTGGATGCATCTCATCTCATTCAGTACTACAACGCAAAAGAGTAATGAAAAATTACTTCCGTAATATTTAACATTAAGATCTGACTTGATACGTTCACTCTTCAGGAATGTTTTTCCAGTTTGTGAAGCTAAAAATCAATAGCTAAGTAATAATCTTTAGGTATTACTGAAATAATCTTTCCCTCAGACTTTAATAGAGTAAGCTGTATTAATTTATATCTTGGCCTGTATTCCAAAAAACACCAAAGTCCAGGAGTGCTGTTCACAAGCAGCTTACCTAGAGGCACAAAATTCTGTGTAGTGTCTCATTTGGCTTTCAAAATTTTCAACTCTGACAGTAGCACTTGCAATTTTGTTTCAAGACCTATGCTCCAGTCATGCTCTATATAACACGAACTGCATGAAACTTCAATGAAATGATCATAATTAAAAACTTTGTTATTTGAATCCACACAGGGTAGATGGCTTTATGCACTGTTGGCATGCCTTGAAAAACCTTTGCTACCTGAAGCTCACTCCCTTATTCGACAGCTGGCAAGACGATGCTCAGAAGTCAGAGTACTAGAGGTAAGATTTAGTGTTACATTGCACAGAGGACTTGCTGGACTTAGAAAGTTATTAGATGAATAATTTTCTCAGTTCTTGGTAACTAATTTTTCATATCTTAAGTTTGCTTGAGGATGAGAAGATTACAAGCATGTAACATAGTGTGTAACAGCTTTTCTGTTTGACTTGGGTAACAAAAGAACTGTTCTAATATTTATTCCTATTTCAGGAGAACAAGAATGAAGAACAAATATCAGCTCTGAACTTGATAATCTGCTTAGTTAGCAGGTAATGCAACTTACATACCTGAAACAGTAAGGATGTCCAGAATAAATGTGTGATTGTTCATCCTATACTAGATTCTTTCGAAAGTGGAAGTAAATTGAAGTACCCTGGGCCTATGTAGCAAATACATTTAGGTAAAAGGATTTGAGATAAACCTAAAAGTGAAAAAAGCATGTTGGTATACTGAGACAAGCCCCCTGAACTGCAAAGCTATAAGCATGGTAAAAACACTGAAAGAAGAGCTAGAAAGCAAGGGATCTAACATCTCTGAGCGTAGTATGTTGCGTCAGAGGTTTCTTACCATATTCTATTTCTCACCACTAGGTACTTTGATCAACGTGATTTGGCTGATGAACCTTCCTAGACTGTTTTGAGAAGATCAAGTATTTTGCGTTGCCATAGTACAAACAGCATTATCAGAGTTAAGAGCAAGACACTGCGCTGTTCAGACCTGAAGTATTATACAACCCCTTCAGAGCACCCTTGCAATAATGCACTTGGGAGAGCTATGAATAACTTCAGCTGAGCTGTAGCACAAATTGTCTTTGTATCATCATCTTTGCAAAATGGTCAATGAAGCGTCTGGCATCATCTCTCAAGTTACTGTCTCTAAACTACATTCTTGGTTAGAAAATTCTATCATATGTGTAATCCTATGGACACTATTAGGTGAAATCTGAGGTTACATTACAAATGGGGGGTTCTTTATCTAACACACACCCACCGAGGGCTTTTTTTAATAAACTGAAGCATTTTGAAGAGTCTTCGTAAATATTGTGGCTTTTCTCATTCTTCCTGCTATTCAACAGCAGCCTTATAGAGATCTACACAACTAGGACTGAATGTGTTTTCTCAGGCTTTAGTTCCTGAGCTTAAGCAGTGTTAAGCAGCCCAACTATAGCCTCTAAGTTCCTTAAACAATTTAGTAAAATATGAACACTGCTGCTTTCTGAGTAGTAATGCTATTTTTAGTTAACAGTTGCAGAAACCAGTGAAGTTTACACAGCTCTATTCAGTACTTTTAATAAAGCATTTATTAAACAATGACCAAATTTATTTTCTGTATGGTATCTTGACAAATACATAAGCTTGCCTATTTATATATTTAACATGGAGTACTTCACCAACAGTATCGGCATCTGCTTGGTACATATATGACTCCTTCTGGTTCTAATTATCTTCAGTAATTAAAAGTCCATGTTAAAGGAACTATGAATTCCAGTGACAGCAGCAAATTAACTAACATTTGCTTTTGGTATATTGTAGAATTTTAAGTCCCTCCCCTTCCTATTAAAAGTAATCATTAACCACAGCCAGTTACCAGTAAACCCTTAGTATGTCTTTGAATGATTGGCACTTTTGCATCTGGAACAGTAGTCTTAAATGTCAAGTGAAAAATCAAAGTGAATTACAATAAATCCTAGACTTTTAATTCTGGAGATGCAAGTACCAATGATTCTGTATATTCTGTGATACTGTCTACCACACTGCAGATGTCTAAAGTGATGACATTGAAATGTCCATCTATTAGAAATACAGTGCAAATTATTTATAGTCTCTTTAGGAACATTTTCAGCATGCTGGAAGCAGGGTGAGTTGGCAACTGAAGAACCCATGAAATGCAAGAATACTAGTCAGCTGATTCTCTAACCCTACAGATACAAGCAAGTCTGAGGAATGAAGGTGAACAACCACTGCTACCTTCCTATAAACTACCAGTCTAAGAACCCAGCATTTTCAGTCAAACAGCTGATCCCCATTGAGTACCAATCTACTTTAACTACTTTCATCTATAAACAGTGGGACAGCACTCCGCTGGTTTGAGTTCTGCTCGAGATGTTTCCTAGAACTGTCAAGTTACTCAGTTACAACTAATCTGAACTAGCATTCACAGTATCCGGAAAGACCTGAATTTCACCCATCTTAAGTATAACAGACCCCTGGCTATCACATTTATAGTCTATAGTTTGCTAGCTCGTAACAGCTCCCTAGTAAAGGCTTGGACCATTACAAACTTCAGACCTTCCCTAGAGCTTAGGGAAGGTTTTGCCTACCATGCAACTGGACAACAACTCTCAACACAGAAGGTAGTTACAACAATCAAAGGAGGTGCTATCTTAACACATTAGCTTTTCTAGTTAGCCTGTTGCATACTGGTCTCAAAGTAGAAACTGCATCACTATCACAAGGCATTCTCACACTTCTGAATAAACACCATTAAGTTTCTATTGTGATTCACTTGAATGCATAAGGTCTGAATATGCCAACATGAAAGTCTCACAGCAGAATTCATTAAAAGTTTTAACAAGATGTTTTCATGCTTACCTATGGCAAGATAAATACTGTTATGCAAATCTTGTAACAAGTAGTATCTAGCAAACCCCAATGTCCTCAGGAGTCTTGGTGATGTCTTTATAGCATCTTGCAGGCCTAATCATCTTCCTGCACACGTTCATAACTGAAGTGAGTTGTAGCTAGCAATTAAAAACAACTACATTAATACTGAGTCTATGCACAACAAGCCAGTGTAGATGACCTTAACCATAAAATCATTCTGACACAAAAAACGGTTGTTAATTAGGTAGGAGGAACTGTTTAACTATGTAGAAATAAGTTCTCTCCTGCCCCATATCATTTCTACAAAGGAACTAAGCCTCCACTGACCACCACTAATGGTTTGGTTCATTTGCTAATGGCTTCCTCAGAATAATACATAAGCAATTGCTGCCTCATGGTTCAGAGTGCACAGGGGAAGGCAGTAGCTGGACATTCATGTGAGGTGACACAAAACATTACTACTTTAATGCAGTTTAGTCTTGGTCAGGCTTTTACTCTGTTCTCAAAACATGCCTCCTGTCTTCCACGTGTGCTGCTTTGGTAATTGAAATGTTTTGCTGAAAACTTTTGATTACAGAGTTTTCACCATGTGGACGTTAATACCTTGGTATAGAAGAAATTTCATACCAAGATGCAAGGATAGTGTTAAGTTAATTTGTTGAACGTTTATTATATATTTTGGAATTGTGCTGCACACTGCTATAATTTACAAGCTACATACAATGCTGAACCAAGATACCAAATCCACCTGCAAAGGATTTTCAAGGTAGACACCCAGATGTGAATGTGCTCTACATCTTCTGTATCATCACCTGAAATTTACCTGCAAAGAAAAAGAACAGTCAGAACAACATACCAACATTAATTATTTTTAAAGCAATTTAGCATTAAATTTAACACCATCTGAACTGCTTTTACTTTTTTTTTTAAGTTGATCCATTTTCCACATCACAACAGTTTTGTCAGCTAAATTTAAAATTTGTGCAAAGACTCTGGAAAGTTTTTAATCCACCTTAAGCAGCTTGGGTAGTTACAATGGATTTCATTTGGATTTTACTTTCCTAATGACTTCTGTAGAGAAAGAGCATTTATCTGGTTGATTTTATCCTCACTTGTTCAAATGGCCTTCTGCACATACATCCTTATGTATTTGATGCTTAAATATAAATACAACTTTTTGGTTTTGCTTTCCACTCAGTATCATGGAGGTTCACTTTCTGACACAGTTTTCTAAATACTAAAGCCTTTAGTGACAAGCTGTACCCTAAGGTTCATATTGACTCCTATGGCCCAGCAGCTTCAAACTAATCCCACCTTGAAAAATGCTTATACAGTGATGAAGTCAGTAAGGAAAGTTACCAAGTGAGCTAATAATTGAATACTCCAAGAACTACTTACATGCAGGCATTGATGAAACTTCAGCTGTTACAATACTCTTTATTCCCAAATTCGATAGGCCTCCTCTGATTAGTCCACAGGTAAATGCTAAATACTAAATATAAATTTGCATTTTTAGTAAATGTGAAGGGTGAAGCTTGTTGCTAAAGATTGAAACTAAGTACTCAAGAACAAGATATAACACTTGGACAACATAAAACTATGGAGGTTCTGTTACTGTGCTCAAGAGATTTAGTCATCTCCAACAGATGAAAGCTCCGATACATGGTACAGCAGAGCTCACAATACCAATCTGTCTTGTTAGAGACACTATATTGAGTCACTTGTTTCTATTTCCATTAAACCTGTAGGAATTTCATATCCTTAAAACAATTATTGCCAAGACTTGGCTAAATTAGCAACTGGTATTAAAGTCAATGAAGGAGAAACAGCCTAAGACAGCATTCTTGCACAGACCACATCTTAGAATACACAGGCCTATAGGTATCTTGAATATATGCTGCAAAACACAAGAAACATCTTGACAAACACTAAGGAAAAAAAAAATCCCAAGGACAGTAGCCCGCAACTGTGATGACTATGAAGATCAAGAATTAAATGGAACTGAATGCCCTATTTCTTACATCCGCCTGAACCAAAGTGCTGTATATGAGTTTCTGCAGAAGCACTGATTTTACTTACCTAAACTATTTCTCTCGCTCAGCATCTACACTCAAAACCATTTTTAATTGGTGGAAGATCTTTCCACATGTTCATATAATCTCAGAAGCTTGTTCTAGGTCACAAATAGCATCTTCCAATTATGTTTTGGAAATTAAAAAAAAGAAAAAAAAAGCAGCTGCTGAAAGCACGTTTTCCAAGGAGAAAGAACTTGTGTGGTAGTGGCAGACCAGCTCCTACCATCAAGTTACCCAAACATGACAATAGCAAGTTTCACAACCAAGACCGTTTCTTGAACCATAAATCAAATCCACTCTTCTGAAACAAGGTGCATTTCTAAAGAGCACAGGTTTTGGAGACTAAACTTTAGCTGCCCTTCTGAACAGTTTGCAGCCATTCAATTACAAAATTTAAAGTTATCATTAATAAATCAAGGTAATTCAAATCAAACTGGTAGATCCCAAGGATAAAACTGAAGGGTACCTTTGGCGCATGTTCTAAGTACTGCTTTCCTGCAGACATTTGTGTCAAGAGACGAAATTTATTGTCCTGAAGAACATAAATACCCTATTTAAAAAGAAAAAAGGGGGTTTTAGTTGCATGTGCAGAAACATGTAATCAGCATTTTATGTGATTTGATTTGTGGATACGATATAAATGTTCTCAGGTTGAAAAATCTAAAAAATTGTATTTTAGATTAAGGCACTTGTGATTTAAATTTAGACTGTATTATATACATACATGAAATATCAAAAGAAAAGATACTTAATTATGAGCTTACAACAAACCCCCTAGATAATAACATGATCAGTTAACCCTAAAAAAAGCTTTATTTACATTTTTGGAAGAGCCCTTCTGGTGCTCAGAAACAACAGTTCCATATCAGAAAGTCTTTCTCAATATACCAAACGCATGCTGATTTTTACACTCAAATCTTAATCTTCATTCTTATTCTCAAATTCAGCAAGAATTATTGTCTTTAATAGTGATAGAGGGAACACCTAGCAGACGATCAAATTGGAAGTCTGGTATTTTGTGTCACAATATGCATTTTAATAAATTAAGTGTGAACACAGCATAGCTTCTTCTACACCTGTCAGTTTAATTTCTTTGCTAATGACTGTGCTACTTTGGAACTTCATAATCCTTCAAATTAGATTAAGGCTGCATATGCAGTCGAGATCTAAACTAAATACTGCAGCTTGCTTTGAATTCAAAAACAGATTTCTAAGGTAATAATTATCTCTTAAAGTTATTACTTGATAACAGCTCACTGAAAAATAAAACCTACTTTATTTGGCACAATCCTTGTATGAATTCTCTTGTTCCTATTTTGATACAACAGGAAAATGGCCATAAGAAAGCCAAATCATTCAAGAGGAAAAAGACGGTTTTACTCTAGTAAAATGCTTCCTTAAATTATTTTAATCTTGCTGTAAGAACTGTGGCTGTTGATACAGGAAAGGACACAGATACAATGCAATGTCACCAACATGTATGAACTTTTCCCTTTGTTTCTTACACGTTCAGTAGAGCGCAACTTATGCATCTCAACTGCTGAAAACTGTAAATATTTCTCAAAATGAAAAAAAAAAATACTTCAAGGCAGCCATTCTGTTTAAATAGATGGTACAACAGCAGTATCACTTTCTCACACTAGTTTTCCCCTAAAATTGATTGGCAGATAACATTAAAAAGTTCCTCTTCAAGTGTTAACCAACTGTAACTGTTACTGTCCTGTCAGTTCGTAACTCTGCAACAGCGCATATGAAATACAAAGGATTCTTTCTGAACATAATGACAATAAAGACATCCCAAGCAATTATTAACTTGTGTTCTGAAGCTACATGCTAACATGAACCTTAAAAACATACTTTTAAAACAAATAATGAACATTTTGGGCTTCTTACAATTCTAGACCAAGAAAAACGTGCTACTAAGTCAAAATTGTTACTGATTCTGCAAGTTAAATCTTATTCTACAGTACTAGTACCTGATGATTAGTCCTTAGGTTATCTATTTGTTTTCTGAATACAGTTGTCCAAAAATCTTTGCAAATGAACTTCATAATATCTAATTCATCCTTGAACCTGGCAGTGTCTTTTGTAAACCTAAGAGATAAGTGAGAAACATATCAATAATGAAGGTACGCACAACTTCACCAATTAAATAGGAAAAAATGGTACTATGCAACACTAATTCTGAGGCTGTTGTAGAAATTAGTTTTCCAGCATGTTGTGGCATCACTTTGTATTCCTCAAGTATTTTAACTTAAAAGCAAGTGTTATCTTAATACCTGCAATATGACAGCAGAATAAATGGTTTTAATTATATGATTATTAAAGACAGTTGAAGTACAGACAGATGCAAAGCACTGCATCAGTTTTATCTTCAACTAAATGTTTAAATAGAAGACAAACAAAAAGCTCACACCTATCCTACTGCTTCAAAGGAGTCCTTCAAATGTGCAAAAAAGCACTATCGCATAGGAACAAGCATGTAGAACTTGTTCCCACTTCCCAGAAATGGATCTCCTTCTCTAGCTTATTTTGGAATTCTCTCCCTTCATCCTCCTTAGGGGTCTTCATCAGACAGTAAAGCACCACTTTGTTAAATGAAAGCATGATTTCAGAAGCTCAAGAGTCTCCACACCACCTCAGAAGGAGGGTGCTGAAGTTGGACGTGCATCCCCAAAGCGCCTGGGGAAACAAGGAGGCAACGTGCTTGGTTACGAAGTTCCAAGGACTCAGAGTGCTTTCGAGAAACAAAGTAGCCGATGGGAAAATTACGTTTATGAAGGAGAAGAAAAGCATGGAACGTCCCAGGAACAGGAAACACACAAAAGTAGGTCTACGAAAAGTACAATTAAAAAGGATTGTAAGCATTAAAAGTAACCATACTCCTTGAGTCCGTTTTCATGACTGAAAGCACTACAAAAATACATACTCCAACACTGCCCTGTGGTATTCAAAGACAGGATGGCAGGTCTAACAAGAGAACCACTCCCACCTCATAGCCCTCTGTCCACTCAGGGGAGCCCGCAGCTTTCCGCCGAGGGGGCGAACCCGCCCTG